TGATAGTTCTTCAAGGGAAAGGGAGCAGAGGACTGCTCCCTGTCTGTGCAAGTGACTTGTATATACAGGTCACTTGCCTGAAAGAAAAGCCTTTTTTTTTTTAATGCAGCAGTTTTTGTTGTATCAGTCTTGTGCTAGGCACGCATGGGCTTTTGTTTTTTTCTGGCTTCTTTTTCCACCTGTATGGCATAACAGTGGGAGGGTGCTTGTGGCCTTTGATTCCTTCTTAGAATCTAGAGACTAAAAAGGTGCGGTTGGTAGCTTGTTACACATCTGTGACTTTTTTGGCTTCACACTATGTAATTGTGCAACTCTACCATTGTTGTCCTTCCTGGGGTGATTTGACTGCTGAAAGCAGAAACGCTGATTACTTCCTCTCCTGATGAGAGGAAAAAATTTCCTTCAGAATTTGAAGATACAAGATCTGTGCTTTGTCTTGACTCTTCTCTTGGCTTTGATACTGCTAGAGGGGTGGGTGCAGTCACCCCCATTGTTGTTGCTTCTCTGCCAGCTGTGTCCTGCATATCCTGAGCCAGCAGTGAACAGGCCGTGAACATTTAGTACGTGAGGTTTGGTGCTGCCTCTGCTGAGACTCACAACTTGCTTGAGGAGAGTTCAGACTTGCCTCAGGAATGTTTTGTGAAGGTCCTGTCCCGAGGCAAGAGTTGTGCCCATGTTGGCTTTCAGCCTGGGAGAAGGGACGCAGGTATAGTTTTGGCAGAAAGCATGCAAGGCTACCTGTGGCACTGTAGCTATCTGAGCAGCAGGACCTGGTGCTTCTCGTGGTGTTTATTGTTGTCCTGAGGTAGAAACTTGAATAAGGTCATTTATTGTTGAACCATTGCATGTCAGAGCTTAAACTGAAGAGAATGTTAAAAGATGCATGAGCACCAGCTTTGTGGTGGCATGTCCAGTCTGGGTAAACTGTGGAAATGATGCCACAGAATAGAGCAGGGTAGTGGTCAAGTGAGAATGGGAATGCTGTTTGTATCATGTCAGGAAAAGAAAAAAATGGACTCTTGCACAATTTTACACAAATTCTGTAATTGTAAGAAATGGGGTGCCTGGGCCTCCACAAGGATAAAAGCATGGTAGGGATTTTAGAAAATTTTTGGAGGGAAGATGATGAGTGGGATGCTGACGTACCTGTGCGCAGCAGGTATGGAAAGGATGCTGGACAAATCTGTATTTAAAGCATCAATGGAAAAACCTCATAGTCAAATCACATTTTTTGCTGAGTGATTTAATTTCTTACCACAGTATTCCTGTGGAGTGGATTCAGGGCTCGATTCGAGGTGTAGGAGTTACTGTCACTGTGTTACTACTTACCAACAGTGCTGGTGGCAAGCACTGCGCTGCACAGTGTGTTTGGTGTACCTGTGAGGGTGTGAAACCTGATAGTAGCAGGAAACTTCACTAAACTATATAGCAGTACAACTAGATACAGTACATGCCATCTTTCAACCTTTGTGACTCACTGTGAGCTTGTCTGGAGCAGGCTTGAGACCTTTCCCAGAAGCTGTAAATTGAATGTGTGTATCTTGGAGCTACAGGGTTTAGTAGTGTGTAAGTAACAGTTCTGCAGACTAATGCCAGCAATGCACTGTATAATAAATCAAAAAGGAGATGTCTGATTATGCCGTCTGTGACTTTAAGCCACCAAGGTCTTAGTGTCCTCAATAGAGGTGATTGAACTAGTTTTCAGCTTATGGGATCTGTAGTGAATCTGTAGACTTCCTGAGGATGGGCAAAATGGCCAGTCATTCAGCTGCTGTGAGATTTGGGACTGATAATCTCTGTGTTGTGTGGTTCTCAAGGACAGAGGATTTATTTGCCAAACATAGTGCAGGCTGCACCTGGGTGGCATCATCTCTTGCAGCTAAATACTAAGTGGTACTGATTGAATTAATTTTAAGTGGGGAAATCAGTCGAATACCTATTTACACACTGCCCATTTCAGTGCTGAAACGCTTGACGTGTCTATTTTCCTTCTTCACAGACTCATGTTGTTACAGTGTTTTTGTGTCTCCTTCCAGGGGAGGGTCTTAATGCTGCTCAGGTGTTTTCTATGCACTTGCTGTCTTGATTCCAAATTGTTTTGACTTTGATATCTCCCTTTCAATACTTGTGTGGCTTTCCCATTGAATCAGTATTGGCTTTTGGACACTCTTCTTGGACGAACCAGCATCCCTGGATGAAAGGCATGTATTCTAATTCAAGGCAAGGCATGAACATAAAATTTCTCTTTGGCAGTAAGAGGTTTTTTAACTGTTACTGTGGGGAAAACTCAAAGTGATGTGAAGATGATCTGTATGGCCAGGGCAACTGTCAAAGGAGAAAGAAAGATTTGAGCCATGGTGGTTCAATCACTTTACATATCTTTGTTTGAAAAAACTGAGTCTAAACCCACCTAAATTAATCTCTAGTGTGTATTCAGAGATCTACCTTTTAAAAGGTTGTGTCATTCTCTCTGCAATGTCACATTGAGACCCAGCAGAAAAGTTGTATAGTTTATATCACGTCAAGAAAAGAAAAAAATGGACTCCTGCACAATTTTACACAAATTCTCTAAATGGAAGAAATGGGATATCTGGGCCTCCATGAGGGTAAAAGCATGGTAGGTATTTTAGAAAGTTTTTGGAAGGAAGATGGTGAGTGGGATACTGGACAGCTCTATATAGCTGTTATTGCTGTTGGTTGAAAGCTTCCTGTTTGTCTTCTACAGAGAAGTCACAACAGGTCATTCTCACCTGCAGTGCTGTCCCCAGCATCACTGCAACACCACTGTTTATGTGCTAGAGGATGGCAGAGGAAGGACCTTCTTTGTTTGAATGAATCATTGGCATTGTGTTCCAGAGTATTTTCTAACTCAGGAATTTACCTAACTAAAGAGTGAAATTAATAACTTCCTTTTTTCCACTTTCTTTGATGTTGCTGCAAAAATTTTTTGGTAGTACAGAAAGGCAGGAGAAATTGCAGTGGTGCTTTCGAGAGTGCTTCCTCTAATGTAGTTCTACATTTCTATTCATAGCAGTTCAGTTTTGTCTCCCAGATCTTACATAAAGTATCTTTCTCCAAGTGTTCCCAACTTGAGAAGAGAAGGTCAAGACACAGAAAGTTCCTAGTTTCCCCATAACTCTTGCAGATGAGCTTTTTTCTGCTTCAGTCAGTAGGATTTATTCCTTTACATAATTAAGGGGCCACTGGAGACTAAGTTCCCTGTTTCACTTCACCCTTAACAGAAAGCATCTTTCTGAGTGGATCACACTCACACTGCTCAAAGCTTGATTTGTCTTATTTCCTTCCCATGTGGCAACCTGTCAAGATGGCACAGCTCTTAGGAGCCTTACAGCTCTGTATTGCACCTGGCCTAATCATTGCACAGATAAGATTGTACTATCCAAGACCATGATGATTTCTTTTAAGGTTGCCATAAAGCGTTGCTTCATCCTTGCCCAGGAGACGGTGTTATTCCAGAGCACTATTAGTAAAAGAGGTGATTAGTGTGTCTTTAAGTGAATGGTGGCAATGGGAATGGTATGTTAGGCAGGGCAGCTGCAAGCTCGACCTGAAACACGACCACCCTCGAAACCCTATCTCTACTCCACTGACCCGTGCAGGCTGACCTCATACTGTGTTGAGTGACCACGTGGGTTGCGTCAATGCCTGAAATGTAACTGCTTCCTGGCAGCAGGGAAGATCCTGCCTGTGCGGCTGATAACGTGTTACTTGAAGCAGGGGAGAAATTGCATTTATGCATCTTTTCTGTAGCTGACTGTGGAGGACCGAACTCGGAGGCTCCCTCCCATGCCTATGTCCAGGGTTATCTGAGTTGAAAGTGTCTGCTTTCCTCTTTGTGCTAAATGAAGGTCTCAGGGGGGAGTTCCAAATAGCTATTAGAAAAATGAAAATGTAAGATGATGTTTCCCAAGGATACTTCCCAACAGAGCATGTTATTTGTGGGGTGCCAGGATCTTCCCTCAACTAGGCTTTCCCACAAAACATGCTTCCAAGTGTTATACTCACAAAGCTTTTGGCAGGGTAGTCTCCTCTTCATGATAGATGAAACTGGGTGCCAGAAGGTCGTTTACTCTGCTTTTATCCTTTGCAATCACACTGTCTGGCTGTGCAGAGCTTTACTTCGTGCCCTTTGATCTAAAACACCGGATGAGATGGAGCTCCCTGGAGTAAGGGGGAGGCTGTGTGCAGTGCCTGGAAATCAATAATTGAGAGCCAGCCTCTCTTTTGCTAAATCCCTGCCACTGCTACAAGCCACAGTGGGAGAAGGGGGTGACCTTTTTTCCTTTTTTGTGCTGGGTGAAAGTCATTCTCTTGCAGGAGCGCAGGGTGATGAAGAGCCCCATGTGTGGCTGGAGCTCACTGCGATAAGCTGGTTGTTTTCCCTTCTCCTTTCCCCTCCTCACGCTGCGCTGGGCTTATCTGGACGCCTGAGTTATGTTAAGTAGCGAGTGCATGCTTGCTCTCTGTTCTCCTCTCTGCTTTTGCTCCTTGGATTTCAATTCCAAACATGGTTATCCATTTGGGGTCTCTCTCCGTTCCGCTGCCAAGAGATACACATTCCACACTCAACACCAGCTCCCTCTGCTGCTCTCTCACAGTCGCTATTCCATTTGCCGGAGCGCGGGCGAGACAGGCAGTGCAACGAGATCTCTGTCCTGTCTGTGAGTTTTCCAGCTAATGGCCTCTACTCTTTTCTTGACTGAGCTCTTTTGGCCTCACATTTGCCAGCTTCTTTTCTCACTGTTGTGGCTAAGAAGGGGACCAGCCGACGGTTTGTGAGCCACTAAGAGGAGAAACGAGCCCTTCTGGAATTTTTTGGGTGCAAAAACATTCGGCAGCACTTTAACATGTCTCTCTGAAGCACTGCTGTGGGACCAGAGGAGGAGGAAGAACAGCTACCCAGCAGCTCTGGTTTCAGATCTCTGCAACACCCTTTGTGTATGACAATTCATTTTGAGCGCAGGACGGCTGGGGAGGGTGGGGAGTGGGGAAGGATGAGCGCAAGCAGCCTCTCTTGGGACCAGGCTGTCCTCCAGCCTCCGGTGTGTGATGCCTGGAAGGAGATTATGGAGGAAGCAGCCTACCAGCTGGCCAGCTGCATCGTCCTCCTGGGTTACATGGGGGGAAGTGGCATCTTTGGGTCCCTCTATATCTTTGGCCTCCTGGCCCCAGGCTACTTCTGCTATGCTCTGTGGGGCTGGCTCAATGCTTGTGGGCTGGATATCTTCATCTGGAACATGCTGCTCGTCCTCATCTGCTTGCTTCAGCTGGCTCACCTGGCTTACCGGCTCCGCAGAAACACCATCCCAGAAGAGTTTGACCTCCTCTACAAGACCATGTACCTGCCCTTGCAGGTGCCCCTGGACGTCTACAAAGAAATCGTGAAGTGCTGTGAAGAGCATGTCCAGTCGCTAGTCAGAGACCAGAATTACGCGGTACAGGGCAAGACGCCCATCGACCGCCTCTCATTGCTGCTGTCTGGCAGGTAAAGGCTCCCCCGTGTCTGAACAAAGTCTGACAGCAGAGCACCTTTGGCTTATTTCTACCCCCTGTAGAAACAGGGGTGAGGATTGTTTCCTTCCTCTGAACAGGATTTGAGATATGCATCAGTTTGTTGAGGAATGGGGAAATTTGTTTTTGGGCGTTGTTTTAACTTTCTTTTATTTTTTTCTATATTAAGAGTGTTTCAGAAAATGGTTTGCAGACTCGAGTTGTGTGTAATGAAGTGGCTAGCTCAGCCTTGCCAGTGATACTGTGGGGGAATCCTTATCTCTTTCTCCCTCACTTAGAAGTGATCTTATTTTTGATGGGAGTAGGCTGGCTGTGAAAAAGTGTTTCTCAAGACAGGAGGGCAGTATGGCTGGACCTGTGGTCTCTGAGGGCACCAGACACACTTCTGTGATGTCAACTGCTGTGCACTGAGTACACTGAGTCCTCAGTTCACCTGCTCCCCCTGGCCAGCAGTGTTCAGGGAGAGGTTCCATCCCTGTTCTTAACACCCCAACGCTCAGGGCTTTGAGGGTCATTTCATTAAAAAAGAGAATACCCTCCTGTGGTGGATCCTGCCTCTTTCTTTTCCTGTGATGTCAGGCATTCATGATGTCCCTTCCTCTGGACCGCCAAGGAGAACCTTGAGGACCTCTAGACAGTCAGACTGGAAATTTGATTGAGTGAACTGTGCTGATCAAGTACACCTGTGCTGTTCACCTGAGATGCTGTGGCATCAGCATATTCACTTAACAATTTGCAAAATCCAGATGCATACAAATGGTAATGGTGTTGGCTTCCCAGCTGCTGTCAGGCATTTGGCATTAATGTTAAATGAGAGTGGGAAAGGAAGAAGATCTGTAAATGCGAGCAGTGCTGAACTACAGGAGGTATGTCTCTCCAGGATTTTCCTCTGGGAAGACAAACCCAGCATCACCTGGGGCTCATGTTTTACTGCAGTGGCCCATCCTCTCTGGTGAGGGAGTGTGCAAAGAAGGGCTGACCGTGGTTTTTTTGATGTTACTCCGTTTTCTAGAATGTGTTTAGAGCATCCTGGGACCATCAGGATGCTGAATGGCAAAGCACTGGAAGGAAATTTGGTGTCTGTGTTTCTATTAAGTGTTTTTCCAACTCTGCTGAGCAGCTTGCTCTGAAGTTTACTGCATCTGCAGATAATGTTAATGAGGAAGAGTCTGTGCTGTCTTGACATACACTAGATAATCCAGTGCTGCTGTGTGAGCATGAAAGTGCTGCAACAGACAGTAAGATGATGCTGGTGGGGTAGTTTTTCTGCTCTGTTTTGCAGTGGGAAGAATGCATCTTGGCTGGTATAGGATGCTCCATGGAGATGGGCCTGGATTTGCATTTCCCGGTACTCTATTGCCTTGTGAGGTCCTTACTGACCCAGCAGAGTAATTGTTACTATTGTGGTGCTCCCTCTTAAATTGAACAAATGGGGTCTTGGAAATGCAGAATATGCCTGGATCAGGAAACATGCCTTGTGACCACAACCCTTCCAGGCAACATTCACAGCTTCCTGAAAGCCAACAGTGAGCTGAATCTTATAACTCCTGAAAGCAAGAATTGACTTCCTGCATCATACAATGGGGGTACATGATAACAGGGAGGCAAGAGGCCTCAAATCTGGTGATGCAGAGCTATGAATAGAACTCCAGGGTGCCCTGCCATTGCCCTTGCCTCAGGCCTGTGTCTTTCTCTACTCCCACATAAGAGCACATGCTTGACCTTGACACTGGCAGGCAATTGTAGCAAAAATAGGGGAAAGGGATGCTTGGGAGGCCAAGAGAAATTGAGAGGTAATGTGGAGCAAACTATGAGCTAGCAGAGCGATCTGTCGGGAATGATGGCCAGCATGATTTTTGGGGTTTCTGGGTGTAACAGCTTCCCAATATCAAGATAGGGAATGCCCTCATGCAACCCTGGGCACAGGAACAAGATGCAAGTACAAAGAGCCACAGGCTGACTTAGAAGTACCTAGAAAGCAGCAGTATCTTGTGGGCTGAGAAGTCCTGGTTTAGGACCAAGCATTGCACCTGTGAGGGCTGTCTTTGTAGCAAGAAACAGAAAACAGATGGAGTACCGGGGAATGGCAGCAAATAGTTTCCCACAGAGAAAGGAGAGATAAGCTCCATGACTGGAGCACCTGCAGCTGTCCCAGGAGGTATGAGACATGGTTGAGACAAGAATTTATTTCCTCCCTGGTGGGACACACTGTGTAAGCTGATCAGGTTTTTGTGATGTCTATTTTGTGGCCTAAGTCCTGACCTGTCCCCTCTGCAGGATCCGAGTATGCCAGGATGGACAATTCCTTCACTACGTCTTTCCTTACCAGTTCCTGGACTCTCCAGAATGGGAGTCACTGCGACCCTCTGAGGAAGGAACCTTCCAGGTAATCCCATGCATCCCCACAGCAGGCCAGCTTCAGTACTTGCTGGTTCATTGTGTGTCTGAGAAGGGGATAGAGGGGCCTCATTATGCCATTCAAAACAAACTGGGAATACTTCCTTCCCTTTCCTAGTGGTTTATCCAGCACAGAACGGTGTGATCAGCTGTGTTACATTTTTTTCTACCTTCCTCTGAAGACCTCAGTGTGTGTTCCCACTATCAGCTGATAGCAAGGAGAGTGGAGCATGGTGCTTCTTCCAGTTTAGCAGGAAGTCGAGGTATCGGATTCCTGGATCTCTTCCATTGTAGCATTCCCTGGTACCTATATTAATGCATTTGATCTGCACGCTGCTAGCAGGATGCATTGTCCTAGCATCAGGATGGCAGCTGCGGCAACGTGCAGCAGTGATGCAAATCCATAAATATCCTGTTCCTCACAGAAGTTTCTGATGGTCATGTGTTTGGGGTGGAGAAGCAGAAAGCATGATTCACACCCGAATATGGTCCTTTCTGAGCAAAAGAATCCCTTGCTGAGAGGCCAGACCAATTCTTACTTGCAGCAACTAAAAGGATTTTGACCTTGCTGTCAACACCTCACAGTGTTTGTTTGGCTTTCCTTCTGGAGAAGATTACTCAGTTCTACATCCCTCTGACTTTAACTCACATCCCAGGACAGCTTGATACCTGCCAGGATGTCAATCTAGCTTATGTCAATCAATGCATATGAGGAGGGATTTTGCTAATCCCTTGGGAGCATGGGATGGTCACGAGGGCCTGATGATGCTTTCTCATGAGGGTAGCCACAAGCAGACTTGGTTAAACCAGCACAGCTCTCCGAATCTGCCTTTCTAGGGTCTGAGTTTGGTTCATGTGTGAAAGAGTCATGGTGATCACTCCTGAAAGCTGTCCCATCACCAGTGGTTACGGTCTTGCAAGAAGAACAGCTGCAGGAGATGGCTGACCGTGTGACTGTGGCACAGGGCTTCAGTTTGTGAGGAGAAACAGGGATGTCATGCCAAGGCAGGGAGGTAGAGAAAGCAACAACAGCATGGTGGTGCTAGGGATGATGGTATCTCCTGTTTTGCATGGGTCTTCAGTCTGGCAGCAGACTGCTGGTAGCTGCTGGGCTGTATTTGCCTAAGAATCCAGCAGAGAGAATCATGGCTGTCGGTGCTCCAGGCAGGGAAATGGCTGTCTGAATGGCATGCAACTGGCAAAGACATCTGCAGCATTTTCTGAGCTAATTTCTGTGGAACTGAATGTTCCCAGACCTCCTGAGGGTCTTTATCTGTGTGTGTGAGACAGCTTTAGAGCAAGCTGGTGCCTGGCTGCACCAACCCTGCCAGCACCACGCTCTTGGCACCTCTTCTGCTCTGCAAGACAGGAGCTGGTCAGGGAGGTCAGCTGTGCCTGGCACCAGGATGGGGAGGTAGAGTCCTATGTGGGGAAGGGCTGCAGCCATGTGCTGGAAATGCCTAAACCCTACATCTGCTTACTGAGGAGCATGAAGAAGTAGCAGCCTGTGTGAGACCAGCATTCAGCAGGCGGAACTTGACTAGTCTGTGTACCTGGCAGGACCTTACTCTTGATGGCTGTGCTTAGCCATGGAGGTGTGCTGCTTTTGGCACCTGTTTAACTCACTAGTCCCTCTTACCTGAGTAGTTAGTAAAACTCAGTGGCTTATCTCAGCCTTATTCCTAGCATCACAATATTTCTGTTAAAAAGTGCATGTTTGACTCTGGGACTTTGCTGGAGGAAGGCATGGAAGATTTTTCTTGCCCAAGTTTTTCCCATTGCTCTCTGGATAGAATAATGTCAATCCTGAGCCCACTAAAAAGTGGCAGAAGCATGACTTGGTCTACAAGGGGAACTGGTTTCCTTAAGCTTTCTGCTTTGGCCGTGTCTTCTTCCTACAGGGCTGCTGAGTCCCAATACCAAAAGGAGTTTGGTTTCAGGGCTGGCACTTTCCCCCAGAAGGCTGAATTACAAGCTCTGCTGATGCTGGAGCACTTGTGTCGGGAGGGATTCATAAGTGAAATCTGTCTTACTGTCCTGGGCAGGTGACAGGTTTGCTTATTCATCTCACTTATCCCTCACAAGAAGCAGAGTGCTTTTGATTGCTGTGCCAAAAGTTGGTTAGGAAAATGAGATTCTGGTCATTTCAATTTCCGTGTGACTGTCTCTCTTGTTTGCCTGGCTTGGGAAAGTTCTCAGGTTTTATCTCCTATATTTCTTTCATAAGGCAGCTGTTTGCATGGCAATGGCATTAAATATCAAACCCAAGGACACACACATGCAGCCAAGCCATGTTCAGCTTCCCAGTGGCCCTCTGCCATGGCAGCTGACCAAGGAGACCCCTGGATACAGAGTGAAAGGGAGCCCCCGGGATATTTTGGCTCTGGCACTTGTTCACATGCCAGTGTCTCCATTACACTCGGATGTTCTGCTTTCACCCAAGGCAGTTTGACCCTCCCTGCATTTCTTGTCTTTATTATTATTATTTATTGTAATATACATTCATGTATTATATAATAATTTTTATTGGAATTAGTTTGGTCCTATCACTAGGGGGGAAAAGGTCTCTGTTTACATTGGCAAAACCCAAAGTAAAATGAAATGTTCTCTAAAATCAACCCAGTAAAAGCTCCTGAGTTCTCTACATAGACACAAACACAATAAAACCTTTTTACTTTCACTTGGTAGTTCTGCAGTGTCCTTCAAGGCCATTCAGCCCTGCAGACTCCAGCAGAGCTGGTGAGACAGGATGTCCCTCTGGCACAGGGTGACCAGGCAAGCCTTCCAGGTGGCCCTTCCAGCACCCAGGGCCTTCTTGGAGCAGGGGCTGTGCAACCCAGCAGCAGGATGTGTCACCAGCCTGCCACAGGGCTACTCACTGGCAACTTGAACTGTCTGGGCATGCAAAAACATCCTCTCTTAGCGTGTCTGTAGAGGTATAAGGATGTCTGTGCTACCCTGTTCATTTCAGCTACATCGCTCAAAACGGGGAGCGTCATCAGAAGGCAAGAGTATGAAACATAGCCAGCCACATGACTAGGGTAAACAAGGACATGCTACTAATTGCATTGGAAAATGGGTTCTTTGGCTCCTTGGGGAGAGGAAACATCAGCGGGTAAGGATTTATGCAATTGTTCAGCTTGGACAATGTGGATCTCCAGCCCTGCCATCAACAAGGAGAACAGGCATCAAAGGGGCAGAAGGCCTTCCCTGGAATGAAGCACATGGCCCCCAAGGTTGGTGACCCCTACCCAGGTCTGGGACTTACTCCACTCTCTCCCTGCCCCACAGGTCACGCTGACAGCTGAGACTGATTGCAGCTTCATCACCTGGCCGAGGAAGAAGCTGTATCTCCTCCTGAGGAAGGACCGCTACATTGCCCGGCTCTTCTCCTCCCACCTGGGCTATGACATCTCGGAGAAGCTCTACTCCCTCAACGAGAAGCTCTTCTCCAAGTTCGGCCTGCGCTTCGACATCCGCTTGCCCAGCCTCTACCATGTCCTTGGGCCAGCTTCCTCCGAGGGGGAGTCGGAGGACTGCGAGGAGCTGCTGCCTGCCTCTGGCCAGGCCAGTGTCTCTGAGCCCCCTCCGCAGCCGCCGCCACCGCCACCACCGGCCCCGCGCCCCCGGGCATCCCGGCCCGACAGTGAGCTGCTGGGTGAGGACTCCACCAGTCTTGTCTTGGAAGATTTTGCTGAGTTGCCGGGGTCTTTTATGGACTATGTGAGCGAAGGGGAGTATATGAAGTGAGGGCACTCCTGGTACGGGCACACCTCCCCCTGTGTGGGACCCTCGCGTAAGTACCCACTTGCGGAAGCAAGTCTTTCCCGTGATGCAACTGCCTGGGCAGAGCAGTGGCCCCAGCCTCTCGCCCTCATTTGCCATGGGTTTGCTCCTCCGCAGTGTTTTTTGGCCTGCTGCCCCAAGGAATCCCGGAAGGTGGGCTCCAGCTGTGTGATTTTCTTAAGGAAAAGCAGCAGCGTAAAGTCTTGACACCAGGCACCAGCTGTATTCTAGGTACTCTCTGCTGGAGCACAGGAGCAGTGCAGGCGAACAGAAATAGACAGGAGAGTGGCTCATGCTTGAAATTCAGATCCAAGTGGCCAAGAGAGAAATTCCACACTGAGCTACTTTTAGCCAGCCACTGCATGCCAGCTGCTACGCACCAGCTGCAGACCCCAAAACGTGCATTCCTGCTGCCGCCCCATAATAATCCAGCTGACAGACCCCAAGCTTGGGACTGGGATTTTTGTCCTAGACGTGAGCACTCCACGTGTCCCAGTTGGGTCTGCGTGGCAGGACTGGGCTGCAGCTGGGGAGATTGTCTCACCACCAGGCAGCCTTGAGCACAGTGCACCATTGCACCCTGGTCTTCTCTGCACCCACTTGGGTCTCCTTCTGTTTGGTCCGTGGGCTCAGTGTCAGGGAACATGAAGGAGGGCATACTGACCCTTGGCATGAGCCCTGATGAGTCTGCAGAATTCTTGGTGCTCTGCACGGAGTGTCTGTCCAGATCAGACAGCACTTGCTATTTGCGATAGGCTTCTGGTGGAAGAGGCCTTTCTTGCTGTTTCATCCAGTAGCTCTTCTTTGTTTTGAAAACAGTGGAACTGTAGGATTTCTCTATTTTGTATGGTTCTGCTTTGAGTTGAGTCACATGCCAGTTCCTGTACTACTTCCATGACTCAAAACATAAAATATAAATATAAATACAAAATATAAAGAAAGTGACCAGGGAAAGAACAAGTATATTTGATTTTGCCTCAATCAGGTAAAGAGTCAGCAAGAGTTTTGCTGTTAGGATTGTTTGTTTGTTTGTATTGTGCAGTAAATTGATTGTTTTTTAAGGAGGCACAGAGAGAAAAATTTTTAAAAACCACATTTTTCCTAGGAATGTGAAATCTCTGGTTTTGCTGGTCGGCTGCTGGAGATATGAATTTGCAGCTTTTTCAGTCCTTCCCTGGAAAGGATTCAGGAACACTGAATCCCTTATGAGAGAACCATCCTCCTAGCTGTCAGGAGTGTCTGTTGTATATATGCAATCAAAAATGAATTCAGATAATGGATTCATGGGGTTGAATCCCATGAGGTGTAATGGGATTGTAAATGGGGTAAAGTCATTTTTCCTGTGCTTTGCTTGTATTTTGCCTTCTCAGAAGAGGGATATCCTTTCCTAGGTAACTGGTAGAGTTCTCCTAGTTGATCAAACTCAATAAAACCACAATTTCAAATGCAATTAAAAAATGAAGGAGGCAAGGAACACCGTAGCTTTTTTTAAATCACTTTCACCCATTTTTGGCAATGAGTCAATATTGTGAACATGCACATGAGTGGTGTGTGTGTTGGGGAAAACTTGTGCAACACAGCACAAAGCTATTTTTCATTCACACAATCCTTTTAAAACATGCTGTAAGCTGGAAACTTTTGTCTTTCTAGATCTTGTGACTAAGACAGTATCAAGGAGTGCTGATATTTTCAGTAGAGACCTGCAAAAAAAGTGCAGATGTTTAGAGGGTGGTATTTGGTGTGGGAGTGGAGGATGATCTTCCTTGTCTGTCAGTCTGGAGACAATAGCCAGTGCGGTATTTTAATTTTTAAGGTAATTAAACAAGGAAAGAGAAATGCTACATAGTGTGTTCATAATGGTGGAATGAGCATTCCCCTGTTACCCTGCTCACCAGCTGTGTATCCTACTCACATCACATCCCAGCAGCACAATAGCAATTGTCACATCTGGACAGTATTCCACAGTGACTCGAGCCCCTCACCACAAAAAAACCAGTGATACAGTGGGGCTGCAGTTTTTCCTTCTGGCCAGGCACTTTAACAGCTCAGCAAATAATCCGAGCGGTTTGGATGTGGCTCAGGGAAAGCACTTTCATAACTTTTCCCTTGGAAGTGGTAAAAATATCCATAATAAACAGAGATATTCCCTGCAGTGTCATTGCTCAGAGTAAGCAATAGCTGCAGTTCCTGATGCCAAAGCTCCCCTGGGGCTTTCCCCTGGTCTGTGTTTTCATTTCCTTCCCCAGCAACTTATGGGGAATCACCTCCCAGCTCTCTAAAGTCCCCATACTGAAGTGCTTCTATGAGTCATGTTCCTTTTTCTTTTCTGTCATTACAACAGCCAACTTGCAATACCACAGTGCAGAAGGGCAATTCTTGAATGCCCAAAGGTAATGCTACCAAGGTCATACAGAAGAAAATACTCCTGGGAGATATATTAGCCTACTGTTCTTATCACCTAGTTCCTTGAAAGATTCTCTACTCTGCTTAAGAGTAAGACAGACTGTAATATCCCACTGATGAACACATTCTTTCTCTGAGGAGGAAGCTGCCTGTTTAAAGGAGGCAGTTTCCAAGGTTCTGTTCAAAACACTGCTTTAGCAGTGTACTGGTGTATAGCTCAATGCTACAGAGCAAACAAAGCTTTATTCCTTGCATGGAAATTCAAACAAACAAAACCCTCTTGATTTTTCTCCTGTTCATATTGCATTTGTTTGACTTTGCTGCTGCCAAGATGTTTGCTGCTTGCAAGATATGTAGCTGTTGCTACCTGGTTTTATACAATTACATCATGGGTCTTCCTTTCTATTTGGTGGGTGAGGTGGGTGGATGGATGGATGGATAGATGGATGGATGGATGGATGGATGGATGGATGGATGCTTGATGGACTGTAGCTTGGTATCTAAGTTAGTAGGAAACCTTTTATACCTACTTTGAGAGCAAAATCAAAGGATCTACAGGTTTTGTTTCACTGATATCACAGAAGGTGCTTCAGAGGGTTGTGTTGCTTTTGCCATCTCAGAATGGGTGCATAACCCTATTTTCTGGTTTATCACATGCTGAAGAATTACATAGTTTTGCATGCTCATTCAGGAGGGGAGGGGGGAAGGACAGGTAACGGGTGTGTTCCATGAGGTTTGTTTGGAAAAGTTTGGGAGTAAGATTTATTCCTGTAATAGTAATGATATTCTCTTTCTCTGTCTCTCCCCTCCCCTGTCTGTCTGTTCTGGTTTTCCTCCCTCCTCCTCTTCTTTCCTTCTGCAGCCTCTGGAAACCTTCTCCGGAGTTCTCCTCACTCTCTCTGCAAAGGACGAGCCCCTCTGGCTCCCACTCAGACTCCTGAACTCTAGGGAACAACAGGCTGTTTTGATCCCGAAGCCTCTCCATGGGCACAGATGCGCTCACACAGGTTTTTGACCAGAGAGACACTCTTTAGCACGCAGAGATGTCTGCCAGCAGACATTTACACTCAGGAGCACATGAAGCACATGCTTAAGACTGCAGTGTGACACTCCAGCACCTCCCACCCCATGGTTGTTCACCAGAGCTGCCTTCCCCAGCGTGCTTCCATGGTTTGTTTTTTAGTCCTCCCTCTCTGAAGTGTGTCAGCAGCTCTGCTACCAAGGTGCAGAATCTGTGTTCCCTTTGATTTAATGATTACCATTAAAGTCAGAGATAAAACTACTGGTGTTTGAAGATTGAAGAGGGAGGTAACAGTGGGAGGGAGGGAGGATTTGAAGAGAGAGATCACTTGAGGTGATCTCAAGGCACTGAGTGGAAAGCGCAAGGGAAATTGGCTGCCTGGTGGCGTTGTTAATGTGCTTGCAATGGGGAGTTTGCTGATATGCATCTCACTGGGAATCCACTCTTGTAAGACCAGAAATTACTTTTCCAGGAGTTAGAATTTATCATTTATGAAAAGCATCACTTCTCAAAAAAGTTGGTGAAAAGAGGAAAGGTTGTTTGTTTGCCTTATATCATTTGGAATAAGAAAGGGGAGGAATTGGGACTGGGAACAGGTGTAGGCAAGAAGGACAGCCAGAACCCTTTTTTTTTTTTTTTGTGCTCAGAGGGGAATGACTTCAGGTTGCACACACACCAAGTGAAGAAATGAATGAATACAATACATCTGTGGTACAAACCACTGGTAGTACAATGTCTTAATGAAAATAGTGTGGAGATGGAAGGCCTCATCGCAGTTCAGCTGCATCAGGATTTGTATGATAAGCTTCACCAGCCATTTCCTCAGTCAGGGAATTGGAGATGGAAGTACAGGTGGAGGACCAAGGTGCAACCAAGCTGGGCAGTGAGAAGCCTCTCCAGGGCAGATGTTCAGGGAAAGAGCAAGGAGCATCCACCACTCCCTCAGCACAGGGCGGGGTGTTCTTCAGCGCCTCTTAGCACAGACATACAGGGGCATAGCCACTCTGCCTGGCTTTGTGTTGGCCCTGGGCTGGTGGAGGCAGCTCCACTTGCCTAGCCCTGCTCACACATGGGCTGTGGCCCAGAGGCCACAGGTATATGGGATCCATGATGTACACTGCTCCTTGCACTGCTCACCTTTGCTGTCACATCAGGGCAGAGGAATGGGGCTGCCCCAGGCCAGGGTATCATCCTGCTGATGGTTGTCACCAAGCTCTGTTGATACATTTGTGTTCAGCCTGACCCCACTGCCCTTCACAGCTAGGAAGTGTCTCTGGCAGACTGACATGAGAGCTGCTGGGGTCTCTTCTGCAAAGGAACTGAAATGCACAATGAAACTGGGTCCACCTGTTGTGGTGCTTTATACACTTGCCTGAAGCAGTGGACCGGAATTAGACACTGCCCTTCACAACTGCCTGCTGAGTTTATATTCCAGTCTTCAACAAGAAGCTCCCTGGAAACTCTTCAGTCATGGAACCAACTAACATGGATCTCTTGTCAGGTTGGCAGAGCCCAGCTCTATCCCTCTCCTGAGTGTATGTTGGAGATGGTGTTTGCTAGCTGGCCTTCCAAACAGCCACATGCCAGGGCCCAAAAGCTTGGACATGAGCTGAAAGCAGGAGCTAACCCTGCTGTGACACTGTCTAGTGAAGCAGTACTGACAGCTCATGACAAATGACTTGAGGCTTCTTCATGGCAGAAATGGCTTTAGCATGACCCTCTGTCCTGATCGTGGAGTTCCTGGTGCATTTTTCTATCACTCAGTGAAGCCAGTACAGGAAAACAGAGAAAATGGTAAATAGAAGGTGTGATTTGTTGGCAGAAGTGATGAAAGACTTGTCACCTCTTTAATTTCCGTACATATCATGGTGGTGGAAAACGGGGGGTGGGGGCTCTTCCTATGGCCATGCATCTGATTGTAATTTTTCACCAATTATTTCCAGACCTCAACTACTTTTGCAGGTCTGAAAGACTGTGCTGAGTTCCTGGGACTAATTTGTGTTAGGTGGCCCCATAGATACTCCATTCTCCTCCTATTACCTTCTATTCTGGGCAGATGGTCAAGGCAGTGCAAAATTGTATGTGAGAGCACTGTGGTGCTCCTGATGTCTGCTTCACTTCATGTGAGCTTCAGGGAGAACAAGCAAACCACCAGGTTACTCTAGGCTTGTCAGGGAAGGAGATGCATTCTGATTACTTACTGAAGCACTAACATGAAATCAATAGGGTCTCACTCTGAAAGGGTCTTATAGATGGGACTAATGAGTTTCCTATTGGAGTGCTGGCTAAGAATGACTCCTTCCTGTGCCAAACTTAAACCCCACCTTTTTCCCTTGCTGAGGAAAAATAGTATCTCTCGCCTTTAATATGAAGATATCAGGACACTTTCTTATAAAACACAAACGAATCATACCAATACTCCCACTGTAAAAGAGTGATATTATGTCCTCCTTCTGTCACACAGATACAAACCTTGAGATAAATGACTTGCCTGTCTAACTTTCACAGCTGGGTACACAACCTCTGAGACAAAAGTTCAATCCAGTCTTTTAACTGAGAAGTTTTGCTGTAACCAGTTAACCTTGTACTTGCTGATATTCCACACACTTCTTTTCCTTGACATCCTGTCCCTAATGCAAGGAGCAAGAAACCCATCCAGATTTATGGTGAAAGTATCATCTGTGAGCAGAGAGCAGCAATAGGTTTAGGACTCCTTTCTGGTTTTGTGTATCCCAAAGGCAGTGCTAGGCACAAGCAGTGGGTAGGTCATAGGAGATGTCTGTTTTGCTGGGGAGGGTGAGGTTCCAGGGCAGGCATGACATTGTCCGGCTGTGGGAAGAGCATAGAGAAGTCAGGCTGGGCATCAGCAGGTGGAGGTTGCCATCCTAACACAGAACCAAGCAAGGTGCTGGTGGACCTGGTTCTGCTTTGCTAGGGTATAGTGAACAGGGTGCTGTGCCTTGGCTGGGATAAATTAGCTGGAAGGGTGCATATGAGTTGTGTCCTTCACCTTTCCACTGCCCCCTCCTAGCAGCACTATTGTTGCTCTGAGTGCTCCCAGTTTAGTGATAGGAGCACAGTTTAAACCTGTGCAACTCTACAACTTTCTACCTCTATCAAAGCCAAGTCCAGTGCTTCCAGGGGTGCAGGTTAGTACATCCTTAAGGCAATATGCCTTGCTGTCCAATTTGTAAGTGATAAAAGCCATGTATCAGCACATCCATCCCAACTTTGGAGTACAAAACATGCTAGTAAGGAATAGTCCTTATACTCAAGGAAGTGCCCATTATTTATATAGGAATGCCTTTTTTTTTTCTTATCTGGGCCTACTGGATGTATTTTTAATGCCTAGAGCTTGAGGATCCTTACTGTCCATGAAAACAGAATTTAAATGTGAGCCCAGTTCGCTTTCTGGTTTTCCCTGCTTTGAAGTACCCATTAGCTTGTTTCAGCCTGGAGCCAGCATCTCAGAAGCAATGTGTCAGTATAGACCCAGCTATTTTGTCCTGTCTGCAAGAACTTTGGACCTGCAAAACACCTGGCAAGAATATTGTATTATGGAGAAGACCATTATCTCTCTAAGGATGAGAAGGACTTGGCTACATTTACTCCGGGAAAGGTAACTATGGCTGAAGGTATATACTCTACAATGTCTGGCCTAGAAGATGCCAAAATGGTTGTCTATAGCCTTAGGGCTTTTAAACCTTGCTGTATAAGAAATATATTACTGGTCTTCTGTTGTCTCATCCTGAAAAATGTTGACTTGTCATGTTTCAGATGGGGGCCCATTTTAGACAGGGGAAGATGGAGAAGGCATGCAAGGACAAAAGGAATAAATTCTAGTTCGTACAAGCTTTTGCCATGGTTTGTGACTTAACTATGTTCAAGGTGATGTGAGTTGCAGCCATTTTCCTTCCATAGCACAATGCTTTTAGCCCAGGGGTAAAAAAAAGCTTGGTAGCTTTTCTCTTTCACAGACAGAAAATGAGTTACATAGGGACACAGAGATGATGGGAGAAACCTCTTTACTTGTTTATCTAAAGGGGAGAAAGAATGCATTTTTTCAAACCACAGGCTTAGTGTACCCCTGTAAGATATTCCTCTGACTCACCTGCTGCTGAGAGGCAGCGGCGCCACACAGAACTTGCCAACAATGGATGGCTCATCCTTTCTCCAAAACCGGTTTTTTGGGATATACTTCAGTGTCACGCTGTTTATTTGGCAGAGAGGAACTTGGTGGGCCAGCAGCCGTTTGCCCATGTCCTGGTGCGTAGGTCTGCAAGGTGGGGTGAGAGGTGTGAGGGAGAACATTCAATCAACCTGCAGATGCAAGCCATGCACAGATCCATGGAAACACTGGAGGAACCTGCAGTATTATTGTGAAGCACTCACATAATAAAATGGAATGAGAAGACTCAATTGTCAAAACAGGGCATTGCATGAGCATCTTACTGGCTGTCTCTCCATGTTTTATCTTTGTTGTCAGGAATATTTCTGTATAAATATCCTTCCTTCCATCACAAAATTACAACCATTCTTCTAGCTGTTGCATGTAGATTGAAACATTGTTCAGCTTGCTACAGAGAGGTAAATGCTAGATAGATCAATATCCATGGAATTGTGAATGCATGGTTAGGGGCCAGTTGTTCACCATTTCTTCCAGTATATGCACTAAGGGTCATCAAAGAAAGCCAAGAAGTGGCAAGCTCAAAAAGATTGCACACAGCAGAGTACAATTTCAGCTGTTAAAATTCTTGCTGTGGGATGTTATGAATGCTAGAAAGTTTACATGGCTGTACAAGTTATGGGAGGGGGACTGGACAAGTTTGCAGAAGACAAAAGCTAGTAATGATAAAGAGCTCACCTTTGGCTCTGAAAGTCCCTGAGATGTAGCTAAACAACAGGAAACTCTCTGGCGAAGTATTGCTACATGCTTACACTGACACTTTTTATACTCCTCTCTAGGTGTTTGCTTTTTATCATGCTTAAGGTGGGATGCTTGGATAGAGGGACCTTTGTCTGTCCCTATGCTCTTACCGAGGTAATGTGAACTGAGAAGTGACAGAGGCTTGGTGAACACGCAATGATCACACCCCAGCTGGTCATGTGTTACAGAAGTGTGCTGCCCAGACATTTTAAGTCTCTTCTGTGGAGTCCATCCAATGGGCCTTACACTTGATCTGCTTGGCACCTCTGAGAGCCTGGAGATAATTGATTTCCTTGTGCTCATGAAGAATATGTGTGTAGCTGACTTGGCGCCATCCCAGAAGCACTTGGGTGACTGCCTGATCAGAAACATGATGGCAGGAAAAGGGGGGAGATGACAAAAGGGTCAGGAAGAGCCTACAGTTCTGCTACCCAAAGTAGCTCCTGGGAGCGGGCTGACGGCTGCACTCACAGTGTCCTCCTAGGCCACGGCAGCCAAACCACACCAGTTCATCCAGTCCCTTCCTTAGACTCCAGTAGTAGTTGCTGGAGGTTTTGTGTGTCTGACTGTCTGCCTTGAAGCTGCTTAAAATAGGAAGCATCACAAACTTGTGGTTATAAAGGTGAATAATGGATGGGGATGGAGGCCATCTCTCTACTGCGTACCATCCAGGACCCAGCCCTGCCCCAGGACAGAGGAACACAGTACAGCTAAGCAGGTTGAAGAAGTCACTCTTGGAACTGACCTTTGGTCCAACCCTGCAGAACCTTTGGATGGATATAGGAGTTTTAGGCTGGCTTCAGAGGTATGTTTGCTTGGATATAGGGGATAATGTCATATGACGTGCAAGAAAATAGCAAATGCAGTTGAGAAGTGTTCTGTGTAACAAGCTCCTTACTCATCAGCCCTGTGTCAGCTATTGAAGCTTGAAGATATGTGTCTTGGGGCACTCTGAGCAATGTGTGGAGACATCCTGAGGAGTGAGATTAGAATTGATATTATTTGGGAGAGCAGAAGAGCAATGTGAGGCAAGTCACAACCGTGTGAGTCGCTGAAGATTTGAGACTAGCTGAACACTCCCAAGTAAGTCCCTCTGCACTTCTAGGAAACAGCAGGATCATATACATGTCAGATTATCTGAAATAAGTCAGTGATCGATCAGTGTCTGAACTGCAGCGTGAGGATCTATGTTTAGATGCCCATTTGATACTCCGAGCTTCACTGCACTGGAAGGCTGGACTATACTTAGGGTGGGGAAGTTTGCCCTTTGCTACCAGTGGAAATTAAAAGGGATATCTTCCGTTTTACACTCTCAAATCGGTAGGTTTATTGCTGTAAGCAAATTTTTCAGTTTAGCCATGTGCTTCTTAGGAAGGCATTTAAATGAAATACAGCTACTGTTCCCCCAGGGTATCTCTGGATAGGTTACCCTCTTATAACTCCACTGCCTCATTAAAACCGGAGGGTACAGCAAAGCCTCGGGATTGCCTGCCTGGCTCACTTCCTCAGGCAGCTTTTCCCTCCAGCGCTCACATGCCTCCTGCTGGACACACACCAAACCCTATGTCTGGTAACTGCAGAAGTGCTGCACGGGTCCTGACCTAACCTAAGTGTCACTATTTCCTCCCTCCTGCATCTGAGGAAAAGGCAGATTTGGCTTCCAAGCAGGGAGGAGTTGAATAGACTGAGCTCTACCAGGCTGGAGTACAAACTCCATATTGCAATGCCTGGATGCAAACCTGTGACTAAGCTCACACTGGAGAGTACCCTAGAGCATTGCTACTCCTTCCCCATTTCTCATCTCTACCTCCTGGTGCTCCAGGACTGAAGCTGGGGCAATTAGCTTCAGGTCACGACGTTTTGGCTTAGCAGTAAGGACTGTACGGGAGTCAGCACTGGAAGCCCTCTGATCCCAGGAGAACTGGCTGGGGCTCTTTAACAGGCTGCTTTCCTGCTTCCTGAGGCAGCCAGCAGCACACGCCAGCTGCATTGTGGTTCTCAGTCCACAGCAGTGGGCAAGAAGGTGTAGGAAGAAGTGAGGAAGGCTTCTAGGGAGTTTCTGTGTGGTGGGGAGAACCCCCTGTGGTAAGAGCTGTGGAACAGGAGTCTGGTCCTTTAATTCAGATACAGTTTGGAGAGGGATGGTGCTTTCAAGAGAGATTTTCCTGCCTATGCAGGGGGTCTTGGTCCCCTGCCCCCTGGACTTTTCCCTGCAACAGGACCCTGAGAGCATCTCTGCATCACTGCAGAGGCAACAAGCTACTGAAGACATTTCTGCAGAAATGCACCTTCCTCTTTGCAACTTCTGTCCTATCGGATGTCTAAGCCACCAAGTTCATCAGTCTGGAAGCTCTGATGGATGGGTCTTGCTGTAGTCCTCTCTGTCAGGCAGAATAGGGCTAATAACCATCTGACAGTTACTGGGGTTAAAATTGGCACCAGAGAAGGGTATGGTATAGAAAAGAAACCTGCATAGCCACACAGAAGTATGCAAATCTGGGGATCCCAGAGTATTCCTATTGCTTTGTGCAATCAGGGAAGATGTGGACTTAGTCAATGTTACTGAGTAATGGTAGCCCGTGCCTGATTTTGGAGGGCATTTAAGGTAAATGTGGAGGGTCTCAAGAAGAAAGGTTGTGGTTCATCACTCAGAGAAATATGCTGTTATTGTGCTTTTCCTGGACCAGGATGAATATCCTTACACATGGAGATGGGAAAAAACAGGCCAGAGAAACATGCACTGTCACTCACATGGTGATCTTTGCTGTGTCTTGGGTGCTGTTGCTGAAGAAAGTGATCTCAATGCTGGTGACTCTGTTTCTTTTCTTCTGCAAGTGGAACTCAACCAGGCTGTGATAGACTGAGCAAAAAGCAAAGTGTGTGGTAGTGAGGGCAGGTAGTATCAATTGGACCTACCCATGCCAAAAGAGAGGCTCTAGCACTCATTCCCTAGCCCCACCAGCAGAAAGAAGGTTAAACAGACATAAGAAAGAATCTAGTCTCTGTGCCTCTATGAGGCAAAGGGGGCATGTCTGCATAGTCCAGTGTGAACAGACAGGCATTTTCAATCCCCATTACTTAAGTCCTGAAGCCACGTGGCTGTGTTAGCCCAGGGCCATGCCGACTCTAATAAATCTGTTGAAAAGGCTTTATGGGGGAGATGTGCAGGGTTACTGCTCTTCAGCTGTGTGTCTCAGACTCTCTGGGCCACATCTGACTGATGGAGATAGTGTGTTGGAGATAGGGCTCCCCAGAGGATCTGCCTTATTTGGTCAACATCCTTCCGACTAATTTTTTTCTTATTCTACTTACCACAGAATGGGGCTGAAGGACTGGTCATTAAATAAACTTTCACTTCCTTGGGCAGCTTACTCATATTGACACCTGCCTGCTCCAGCAGACCTGTAGGAAATAATAAAGACAATGCAGGAAAAGCCATGAATGACACAGAACAGAAATATAATCTATAAATCCACTCACCCTGCCCAACCCCCCTGTCTTGGAGAATGGATCCCTTTTTCATACTAGTGCAAATCAGAGCAAATACAAGATTGTAGTGTCTGTTCGACAGATTCCCGCAAAAAACCTTTTCTGTCTACCCCTGTAATCATCACCAGAGAACCTCTTGGTGGCTTTTTTTCATTCTTCTGCTAACCAACTGTGCTATCAGTTGCATCTGTGCAAAATGAGCAGGACTAAAGACTGCCAAGTCAGGAAACTTAGTGCAGATGTAAACAACAGTGCCAATGCAAGGTGTGGGGAAATTTAACTTCTTGGTCAAGTGAGAAGACCACCATAACTTTAGGCCTGCATCACTGGCTAGCTGGCAATACGGCTTGGTGAGGTGGGGAAGGGGTGGCTGATCTGAGGGAACCTGTGCCAAAAGAGGCCTCTCTTTGTGTTCCTCTGATACCACACTGCAAATAGCACCAGAGGACACTTTCTGTCCTCATTCCACGGTCCAGTTTCAGAAGCCTAAAAGAGGCATCTATTACCTTCTCTCAGTTCAGGGAGCTCATCTTTGGGGTGACCATGGTAGAAATTTAAGAGAAGGAGGTGACTCAGCAACAAGTGGTGTAGAAGAACTGGACGTCAGGCTTGAGCCAAAGTTTCCAGCTGCTTCTCTAAACAAGACATTTTTTTGAGGTAATTGCCCACTTGTTAGACAGGTGATTCTGGCAACTCTTTCAACTCATCTGTGGGGCCTATGAAATGCTCAAGGTTTTGGTGTTCTACCTCGAGCAATATATGAGCTTTTATAATGTCTCTACAGAAGCCTGACAATGAAAGAGCTTCTCACTCTTTCCAAAGAGACCTAAAGCAAATCCTGATCAGAGAAATCTGAACTGCATACTGTGCTCTGCACTGAAACCCATTAGGAATGCATTGTCATCTGCTCCAAGAAAGTCTCATGCTGTTACTGTACCTATTCTGGGACAGGAGGACAAGAAATGTTCCGCACAGTCCAGGCAATGACCATTTAAAAACTCTTGATGACTTGCACAGGGAAACCCCACGATTGGACAGGAATGTTTCAAAGCACTGATATAGAGATGTACTGCCCGCATGTGATCACAGATCAGGTAGTTATAGCCTGCAAAGAAAATTTCAACCAGAGAGAAGCAGCCATGAGCCTTTCTGATGGCTTCAGTCTTTTTGCACATTCCCAAGGAACTGAGAGACAAGAAACGCTCTTACTGATTCTGTAGTGATCCCTCTCCATTAATAAAATTTTGCAGAGCATCTCTGTGACTACAAGCCCAGATCCCACTGCAAGAGAAGTTACGCAGGAAGTCAGAAGTGCATCTCCCAGGCTAACAGAGTCCCTCAGAAGAGGAGGACCACAGGGCTGCCCTGTCTCCATCACTGTGCCATCCATGAGGTCCCAAGCTCTCTCTAAAGCAGAACTGTAGCTTTGATTCCCACCTGCACTGGAACCCCAGCTATGGGAAGTGAGGTACCATAGATGTCCCATGTAACCTGACCCTCAGTGCAGCTGACTCGTACAGAACATACTGCAATGTTGAATGAATCCACACCATTTACAATGTAATGCCCTATTCTCCAGAAGGAGAGGGCAGTAATTGTACAAGCGGTCTAAGAATTGTCACAGCTTGCAGCATGAAAACAAAAAGAAGCTTTTTCTAGTGGTACCTAACAGCCTTTCTAGCAAAAGCGTCATCTCTACTGATGCCAGGGTTTTGGCTTAGAGAAGGGTCACTAAAATCACATCTCTTTACAGGGGTGCTGCCAAGATACTTCATCTGTATGTGATTTTAATTTCAGCTGCTTCTTGTACTGCTGAGAAGAGATGTGGGCCATGAATATGTTTGTCTTGCTTTGCTGTCTGCCCTGGCTGTAGCAGGAGCTGCTTGCCAAACAGCATTTTCACAGTGTGCTAAATGGCCTTTTGCTTGGCCAGAGAATGTTCTCACCTGCAGAGATGAATCGAGGGCATCCTGGCTGATCTTTGCCTCCATTGACAAAATAATCGATGTGGCCTACAGGAATCCGGATCCCGAAATCTGAAAGGAGGTGAAATGCCACTTCATTCTCAGACTTGGCTCTTCTGAAGGCTTTACCCTACATGTTTATGGCAGATCCCAATAATTGGTTGAACATGAGTAGTGCTGGAGCCAGTCTACATTGTGCAGGTTTGCTGCATGGGGCAGAGAGTGCTCCAGCCCGTGCCATTAAAGGGAATAGGAACAGTGGCTTAACTACCACCAACTCAGCAACTCTGGTTCTTGATTCTGTGTGACAGGAGAACAAAACTGACCACAACCTTAATGTGGGGTTATGAAGACTAATTGAGAGTTATGTTGGTAGAGGTTTCCCTGATTTCCAGACAAAAAGTGCGACTAAAAGACATCACATTATTCTTCAGCCCAGGTCCTGCCTATGAAAGACCTTAAGTGTTTTAGAGAAGCTACTTTGCTGTTGCACCAGCTGCTGGTTTGGCTCTGTTACTTTCTGACAAGCACTCTTGGTGGCACCTCTTTTACATCAGGTGGGAAGAAGTGGAGTGAGACTAGACATATCAATTCCTTCCAGGTGGCAGAAGTCATGCCAAACCAGTTCTGCATAAACTGACTCTGCTGTAGCAATCTCCACCTGTCTGTTGCTTGAAGTGCTCTGGAGTATGAATTCATCTTAAGCCTAACTAAACAAGAAACTTCCTCATAGCGAACCTGAACTCATGGTAGTCTGGAAAACAAGGGACAATGACCTACAGGCTCCTTAGCAATAATGATGTCAGGAGAAACAGAAGCCCAGGCCAAAGAAGATGGAAGCCAGCTTACTGTCAGCATCGGTATGAACGGCTTCCACGAAGAGGGCATCCCCAGGATCCAGGCGTTCCTCAGGGCTGGCTCTGGTGTACTTAGGGCCTGCAGGATCCAGGGCTGTAACAAAATCAAACACCTCAACAACAAGTACTTTTCAGCCCCTCTCTTTCTTATTTCTGGACCAGTTATTTTATCCAAAATGTTAAAAATGTTGCTAGGCAGCAGTAATAAATTATTCCCAGGTCACACTAATTACAGAATCATATACTATTAAGGGGTTGGAATGGACCTTAAAGATCATCGAATCCCAACTCCCCGATGCTCCAAAATAGTATCTGCCATCTCTAACTTCCACTGCAGCTTCATTGCCTTGTCATGCACTATTCCACGCCCCTTTAGCAGTGTTGTACGTCAAGTTTCTAGGCTGTAAAGCCAGGACTGAGCTTGAAATTCCTCTGACAGCATGAGTGCATGGTGTCTTTTGGATTTTTGGTGAAAGAGAATCAAACTTTTAATACCTTCCCTAATTTTAATGTCATCTGTATTAGCACTACAGTCTGAGAAATGTCACTGAAGATCAGCAGTTAGGTGATGAATTCAGCATCCCAGGCATCAGCCAACCCAAGCACTACCAAAGTTTCATACTATCAAACAATTTTAAAACAGAGGCTTCTGAGCCCTGTCTCCACAAATAAAATTGAGTCTTTGAGCAATCATCTACATTTTTGCCTAAAATTTGCTCTTATTCATAGGTATACAGTTAAAATTATCCTTGGCAATACCAAGGAACAGGTTAAAGATATTTTTTTTCTGAGGTTTATCCTATTCACTTTTTGTAGAAAAGTAACCTCATAAGATTTTTTTTTTCCCCTCCACAGGCAAGAACAGTTTAAGAAGCAGCTCTGCTCCCCATGCTACTTAGCCTCAGAGCTGGTTGATTTCACTGCTTTGGACTCAGTCCCGTTAATTCTCTATGAAGAAGGCAATATCAACAATACCCAAACTGACGTGTTTGTGTTTTTGAGGGTGGAGGGAAAGAGGAAAAGGAGGAAAAAACATAATTTCCTATTTTTTCTCTAACAATGGGTCTTTAACGTTCTTTAACCTTGATACATACTGAAAGCTTGAGAGGTTCCTCACCCATTTCTGCAGAACAAATTGTAGTTAAAGCTTTCAAAGATACCGAAAAATGTTATTTGGTATAGCCTAAATTTCTTCCTGAAGAGGAAGAAACACCTAACATGAGCAGCAGTCAATTCCAACAGAGCTGCAGTGCAAGCACCTTTCTATCCTCTCTTCTCCATCCCTACCTCCTCCAAGCAAATGCATGAACTCCATTGAGATGTAGATCCTCAGCAGCTAAGAAAACTATTCACTGAAGCTAAACAGTATGCAAACAAATTCCTTCGGGCTTTTGCATTTCCTCTGCAAGTATTGAAACAAATTGCTCTTTTCTGAGTGCTTCCTTTTGGATAAGGGCTGATCATTCCAGTTCCTATACCATTTGCTGTCTTGCACACAGAGATATCCACTAGAACAGGCATGGGTTTAAGAAACTTATTTCACAAAAATAAAGTCTGTGCTCTAATCCCCAAGACTTGCTCTGGTTTTGCTCCACACAGCATTTCTTAAGTGACTGAAAACACATCAGCAAATTGTGGCTCTGGGATCATATTCCTCTGTGAGTGTATGCATGTGTATAAAGAGGCAGGAGATGAGATCACACATATCTTGGATCTAATCCCACCTATCTTCAGGCTCTTAAATCTGAACTGGAATCTGCAATGCTCAGTGTGCCTGTGAAATCATAGGACAAACAGGAATGAGGAAAAGGGGTTGTATTCTAGCAGACGTAAAAATCAGTGGAATAAATACATTTTCAGAGCTTTTATTACATTAGACAACATAAAGGGAAAAAGTCCTTAACTTTGAAGTTAATTACCATGGTTTCATGGGAATGTGTCTGCTTCTGCTCATCTGAGGATGTTGCTGATCATACAATCGTGGTGCAGGACAGTGGCTACTCCAATTTCCTCCCAATGTAAACTTTGATTCACAGCTTAAAAAAGGGCCCATTGTGAAACTCAAGTCCTCTTAAGAAATGCCTGTATTTCATACAGTGTGGGTAGTTATGACACATGAAGGCTGAGTCAACATTTCCTTGGACTGCCCTGTCAAGTGTGCAAAGTGAGATCCTTCTTGAGGATACCTCTGTGAGACAGACCAGCAAGGGCTGAGGCAGACTGGGAGCTGTGGTCACACTTACTGGAGACTTTATGTCTGCTCCTTCTTGGTGGCATTTTCCCTCCTATCAAAATGAATCTCCGTCCTTGGGGATTCCCACAATTACCTAAATAATTCTGTGATTCTATTTATGTTTTATAAAGGCTGACAAGGCCCTGAGTAGATCAAAAACTCTAAATGACAGGATCAGCCTATAACCACCTGGCTCTGTAGTTTCCCTACTTCAACCTCTTCCTCACACCCAGGAGTCTGGCTCTCTATGTTTAAGGTCAGCTCTGACTTGGTACAGTGGGGTGTCCTTAGACCAGCCTACTGTGAAAACCACTGACTTGTAGGAGAGAAGAGCAAGAGGCCAACATTGGCTCAGGCTCTTGACTTTGTTCCTTGGCTGAGCTGTGTTGTAGGGATGCCATGCCCAGCCCTGTCTCCCGCTGGTCCTGCTTTTATCTTGCTGACTTGACTTCCCAGCTTGACCTATCACTACAAACTTGCCTAGTGATCACTGGACTGTGGATGGCCCTGGCTCCTGTCACTGGACCTGCTCAGCTCTTCTTGCCTGGACATGGTAGGACAGTGTAGGACATGTAGGCAGAGGCTACTGCCACTGCCTACCTTGCTGTTCCCTTGGCTCTCAGCTCACATTTTCCTGCCGAGCAGCTCACTCTTGCTGCTTCCTCTACAATGAATTGCATTGTGGGCTTTAATTTTAAGAATCATACAGGTATATATGCTTTAATTTGGAAGCAAGGCATGTGGGCATTGTGGGTTTTCATTGGTCATGAGGCCTCATATTCTTCTAAGCTGGCACCAGTTTGAAGAGTGGAGCAGAGCTGGAAGGACCCTTTTGCAAATACATGCATTCTTCTGGCAGCACGGAGGGGACTGATGACTGGAAAGTCACTGTCAGACTGTTCTAGAGCTAGGAAGAAGCCCATAAGCTTGAATCTAATGAGCCCTTATGTAATTAAAAGACCACTCTGAATGACCCCCCCTTCCTCACTCTTTCATTCTCCCTCTTGAAGAACATGTGAGGATCCAAGACTCAGTTTTATGATACCTGTTATCCGTCCCAGCTGACCACCATGGAAGTGCCCCACCAGGCCCCCAACGTGCGCACCAAGGCTTACCCCAATGATGTGGATAGATGTCCTTGAGACCCCCAGGGCCTGCAGATTTACAATAATAGAAATTAATGTTTCTGTAGCAGAAAGGTGAAATACCCTGTTCCAGCCCACACAGCAGCTCTGTAATTCTTCTAATGTAGAATTACTTTTGAGCAGTACAAAGGAAAACCAGATAGGTAAAGGAATGATGAGTATTGCCCTTTCTGGTTTTCAGAGTCTTTCTTTAGGTCCACAGATGCAAACCCAGACCTAACCAGGTTGGTCAGAATCTCCCACTCATAAGTACACAGCCTGTAGCTTCTCTTTCCACAGTTTGCTTCAGACTGTGCTCAACGTGGGGCATACCCAGAACTCCTGTGCTATGCAGTCTGGGTCAGCAATGCAAACGTTTCATGGAGAGTTTATGCATATCTGGTTAACACACAGATTTATCACCCTCACTGCAGAAGTGTTGTTCAGCCATGCTGTGCATGAACAAATTGGGTGGGGTACGTCTGGGTATTTCCAGCTACAGGGAAGTATGTCTGAAGCCCAAAGCAAATATAATATGGCCTCAAATCTCATTCCCTCCAGCTTTCTGGACAAAATTTCTGAGCAGAAGACTGTCCAGTGAAGCATGGATCTCAGAAAACCCAAGGCATGCTTTAGGTTTGTCTTGGGCTGGAGAGGCAGCTGACAACTGGGATTTTTTCCAGCAAACATCAAAACTCAAGACAAAGAAGAAAAACAGTGTCATTCTCAAGCCTGGACTAAGAGAGGAGAAAAAAAGAAACCTCGGAATAAAAAGCCCACTTGGCCAGTTCCTGGAGATGGCAGACTGGGAGCAGTTCTCTGAATTGTTGGCATAAATATTGTTCTCTGGCCATGCTCCCCCACACTAGAAATGCATGGTAGCCTTACCAGGAGCTTGCTGATGAATTGTGAGATGGAGAGGGCCAGCTGTGTGACATTTTCCACTGCAGAGGCATAGGCTCCTGTAGACCCATAAACCCAGTCTACTGCGATCACGTTCACCTGGCTTGTGTGCAGGATGGCTTGGACAAGCCCTTCAATCCAGGAGGGTTTGGTACCCAAAGCCCTGTGGAAACATCAGAAACAAGTATGTTAGGTGTTTCCAAAGTAGGGCACGTGCCAGTATGTTGCTCACTGGCGCTGGAGCTTCACATGTCTCAGAGGAGGCTGCCAGACAGTTGCTGAAAGTTATTCCTGGTGTTAGACACCCACACCCAGAATTTTTTTTTTGTGCTGGTGTAATCACACTTTCAGAATGCACTGATTCAGGAGGTAACCAGATACTTTAATGAATGATATAACATTTGCAGGGCTCAGGCTGAGATCTTGGTCTTGCTGTGGTGCTTCATTCAGCCAACACAGAGCCCACCTGGAGTAAGTGAGCTGACCAAGAACACCTGAATCCTTCTCTGATACCAACTGGCAGGAAGTCCTTGGCCAAATCACTTATTCTTTCACTGCTATGTTTCCTCATCTCTAGACAATTAAAAAAAAATAATCTATACTCAAGAACTCAAGGCAAACTGAGGAGGCTGTGTTCTACCCACTTTTACTAATACCATCTGGTGAAGAGTGTGGTATGTCACGTGGAGGCAACAGCTGGATTTCTGAGAAGACCCTGCAACATCTGCTGGGGTTTCATCCTGGTCTTCTTTGCACTTTTTATTCAGGCATTTGCATTTCAAAACAAATAATGTTATATGGTCACACATGACTGAAAAACGGCACAGAAAAATAAGCTTGCAGAATGATAGCAGTTTCAAGAATAGAAGTATAATGTATCTGCTGGGGCTTCTAAGTGGCTAATTAATCCAAGCTGTTGGACATGAACTCCAAGAACACAATTTAAAGGGACAAGATTCTTGAATAAAAGACTTCTTAATTAAAAAGGTGGAAAAAAGGAAAGAAATAGCAAAAGGTAAAGAAAAAGAGAATGAGAGAATGAGAGATGGCAGAAAATAAGAAATAGATTGATTCTAATTTCTAACTTTTTTTAGGCTCCAAAAAATGTGAAACACACACAAAATAGGCAACTGATCACAAACTAAAGGACTTCAAGTGATGTTGTAATGGGGAGTGTCAGCAGAACGTTCCATGCCTTTGGCCCCAGCCCACCAATAGCCTCCCAGACAATTCCCAATTCCAGTTTGGGGCTGAGCACCCCAGGCTCTGTTCTTAGCAGATGTTTTGTATGCAGCCACTCTTCTGAGAAGAAGGTGACACAAACCGAATTCCATGCCAGCCCCACCCAGTGCTTGGGAATGCCCCAGCAGTGTTTAATTTACCAGTGAAAGCTTAGTCACAGTGCTCTTTCTCTCACCTGAAGCCATGGATTATGATCTTGGTTTCCGAGCTGCTGTTGAAGCTGCCATTCTTGATGCCATCATCAGCTAAAATCAGCTCTCCACAGCTGGGGCTTGAGGAGGTGAATAGAAGAAACTGGACCTTAAGTTTACTGCCCCGTAGGAAATTTGCTGTCTGGAAGTCAGTGCAGTGATGCCCTGAGAGTCTGTCTGTATTCCCTGCAACAAGAGGGAGCAATTAGAACACTTAGTCTGTATCTGTGTCATGGCAAAAAAAACCCTCATTCTAATTCATTAGGAAAATGAAGGTAACAATTTCACTTCTATTGATAAAGATTAAAAAGTTAGAAGATAAATTAAAATAAGCCTATTTGGGAAATTTTGCCTGACTGACAAGTTGTTTCTTTGCCCTTTGATGGAATTCTGGCACTGCTGGAGAAGATAACCATGGATCTTACAGTAGCTTTGACCTCTCAGAGTTGTTTTACCAAAAGGTGAAAAACATTGAGTTTTTTAAGCAAATTGGCCACACAGACCATCTACTAACTACATTTTTGAGGTGGCTATTAGATCTTAAAAAAAATGGTTGCCTACAGGTAGTCATCACTGAAAGGGGATATTTCTATTCAAATTTTGGTAGGCTTAGTAGAAGGTGCAAGTCTACCTGACAGTTGTATCAAAAATCCAGAAATAAATATGAAAATGCTGATGAAAAAAAAAAGTGTCAACGATAATTTCCAGATTGATTCATTTATTGGATTAAAATACTTTAGAAGAAGGACAAGGCAGCTGCCAGAAGACACTTTGTTCTAGAAAGAAAAAAAATCTCAAACCTGTAGCTAGTAAAAATCTGAGCAAATCTGGGCTAGAAAGCAAACAAAGAAGTTTAGCAGTATGTATGACTAGCAATATGTATGTTACTTTATGAACTGGCCTAGTTACATCCTTCTGCAATACAATGAATGCACCTTCCCTTTTCTGGACTGGAGGAAGTGAAACAGCCTTGAATCTGCACATACAATAAAATAATTTTTTTTTTTAAATCAAACAACCAGCTCTTCCTAATTTCTCTTAGAAGATACTTTACACCAGCTAGGCAGAACATGGCCTAAGGTGAAGCACAAAGGGGTGAGATTCAGCGTTTGGATTCCCCGGTGTGGGACACGACTAGCCCTTACTGTTGTTTATTTTGGTCTTCCTGTGTAGTGAAGGCAAGGGAGAAAGAGGCATTCTTAGAAACCAGCTTGGAAAAAATGAAGATCATGAGCCAATTTAACTAGCAAGGGCAGGTTCAGTGCCAGCACAGTGTGTGTCAGAATAGTGTAGGATGAGGGGGATCACGAGCAAAGGTAAGGCAAGGGGTGCATTGCAGTGAAGCTGCAGGTGATGTGGGACTGTAGTGGTGATCACAAAGGCAGTTTAATTGACAGTACAATTAAAGAAAGAAATGGACACCTGGCATTTGTTTATTTCCTCCCAGACACTGCAGATTACACTTGCTAAACTTTCAAAGCAGGAGATGCCAGTGCCAGAGGTCAAATGGTCCCTTTTCTGCTTCCTTATATTTCAGGTAAACCTAGATCATTCTTGTAAATCAGGTTAGTGGAATTAAATCACTGAGATCTGATTGATTCAAAGCATAGGAGAAGAAAGGACCATTCTTGTGTTGCCTTTTCCCTGGAACCTAACAAGATTATTTCAAGGACCTCTTGACAAAATTAGAGAAAATTGAATTCAGATCCTTCTATCTAAAACCTTCAACCCCTTGCCAGGCATTCATGTTTTTCTTACCTGCTTGTGCTGAGCTGAGCAGCCAGAGGACAGCAAGAACAACAAGCAGTAGTCTCTTCAGATCCTCAACCATCTTCCTGGTAATTCACTACACATAAACGATTGTACTGGGGAAAAACAGCTATGGTGGGTTGCTTGATCAGCTTGACTCTGTTAATGATCAACCAGCCTGTGATCTTTTGGGAAAAAAGCAAAGGGACAACTACCTCTGCTCTTACTTGACCATAAGCCAAAGTGTGAAGCAGAGGCTTCACTGACTTTTTGGTTAAAAAGGATGCTGACACTCCTTTCCTCCTTACCTCCCCTTCCTCGAGGCAAAATTCTTCCTTCAGGAATTAGCCAGTGAAACCAGTCGAGCAAATGATAGAGTTACAGTGCTTTGTGAGAACTTTCTGCCAAATTCTGATTAGGGACACTGTTTTTTTACAAGGCTTTACAGTCAGTCCATGCCAGGAAGATTCATACCAGCCTTGCATCTGTGTTTTTCCCTTTTACATTGCTGTCTCTCTCCTGTATTTCTACTTTTGGTCGCATACCCATAACAGTCAAAAGAAAGTAAAGCAGTGAACTACTTCTGAAAAGTGAGGGGGAAGATGGTCTAAAATGTCACTGGTGGGCATATCGCCATAATAAGCCCAGACTGTACATTTCTTGGGGCAGGGACAGCCTTCACTTTTCCTTTGGTTTGCATTTCAGGTACTAAAGGAAATAAAAAGATGACCTCAGTAATGCACCAGTATCATGAACATGCAAACACTTTAAAAAGACCTTTGAATAAAAAACTTTACTGCTTTGATGTACACAGAGAGAGAAGCATAAGTACACAACCAAACATGTAACCAGGAGTCCATCACATGACACTCATGATATGGTGTTACCATCTCCCTGCCTGTGAAGGATTTTCAGGTAAGGCCACACCTCTTAAGTCTCATCTCTGTGTGTTGGTCCATCTTGCTGAATAAGGCAGATTTGCCCCTGATTGTGTTAAATGGCAGGAGGGGTAATGAGCGAAGGAACATTCTCTATCCAGGCACTATTCTACAGTGGCTTTATTTTAACAACAAAATGAAGAAATTGCTTCAATCTGATCAGAAGAATGGCCAAAGACATTTCAAAAAGCATCTGACATTACTTTTCTTTTCTTTACAGTTACTAGTGATAGCAATAATTTCCTTACCCCAGTTTGCTCCAGCTGAAGGCTTTGGGACTGTTTTAAGCAGAAGATAATGTTACTTCCAGGTCTCCTGAGATAAATTTCTTCAGTGTTCACTGGGAAGTTAGGCAGCATCAGCTGCCTGGCCTGGAGGAATACTGAAGCCCTGCCCCATCTGCATCCTCCCAGAGATACATATACAGATACATTCTGATCCTGAAATACTTGCCCCCAGGATCAAGCTGGCTTATTGTCAGAGAAGTAGGTTTTAAGTGTCCTTTGTTAATCACAATTAAGTGATTGGGTTTGCCAGCCCAATCAATTTTCCAAGATTGAAAGCTACAATATGAACAGCCAGTGCCTGGCTTCCAGCCCACTCTTCATCTATTCATCCCCAGCACTAAGACTCAAGCTGTTTTACAGATTGTAAGATAAAAGCATGTGGACTGCAGTGGGCCCACTCCTTTTTCATTACACCCCAAATTTCACTGATCTGATTCCACTTTTCTAAAGAAAGAAAGAATAAAAGAAATTTGTGAAATCATACTACTAGGCAGTGACATGTCCATGATGGCCCTCAGAGCAACAGTGTAATTGTGAAAATGACAACTTTTTGAAACAAAACAAATTGGAGCACCTAAAGTAAACAAGCAAGTCCTTCTCTCCATTTTTTTTAAATTATTATTTAAAATTATGGCAATAAGCACTACTCTTTGTAGCAGGATGCAAATATTACTCTTTCCCAAGTCCTACGGAAATTTTGAAATACCTTATAATGTAAGGCAGGCACCAGTAAGTATTACAGCTCCTAGAGTAAAACAAAACTGTGGCCAAGATGTGCAGTTCTGGCTTAGTTGTTGTGTATTTACAGAGCTGTTAAACAGCATCCTGGTATTTAACAGCTCTGCAAATACACAAAACTGGTGGTTTTTAAAAAGGAAACGTCTTCATGAAATTGAAAATTCTGTTTCCTGCACAAGTTTTTTTCTGTGATCTCAGATTTAGTAACTTCAGGATTTTTTTTTATTATATCAGCACACACTGTGGTGGTTCCTTATGCAAACAGCAAAAACCATTCAGTTACTCTGTGCTTAAAATGCTCTTACCAGGAAAACTGTTTTGGTATGAAGGGTTTTCTTTCTATTGCTTGTAAACCTAATTACTGAGTAATTACAGTTATATTAGTTCAGAAATTTAATGCCACTTATTTTACTTCCCAGTGGGAGTGATTATAATGGCAACGGGATCATTGTTGCAAAGACTTTTCAAACCACTTTAGATTTCTTTTAACAGTCCATTATAGTGTACAGTCGTGAAGCACAGTGTGATTCTCTTGAGAATGAATCAGGGATAATGAAAACAGACAAATTTGATTCTATGTGCAAATTCTTTTAATTAAAAAAAAAATTAAAAATTGCACTGTCTGCACATTCAAGCAAATGCTGAAAGTGCCCAACTCAGCTGAAAATGTTGTCTCCCCACTTACAAAACAAAAACTGGCAGAGGAACATAAGCACTGCAAATACCCAGCAGTCAAGTGGAAATCTGATCGCAGGAAAATTCACTTAAACTGGAAAACTGTTTTTTGATACTAGAAACAATGCAGTTGGGGTAGCAGCGTGGGACCTTGGGGGAAGCCAAGTGTGAGTTAAACAAATGCTAACTATTTAAAACCTCTCCCTAGGGCGTTTGCATTCGAGGGAGGGCTTGAAATACCCACAGAGCTTAGTGAGATCCACCTTACTGCTGGAATACTTGGTCTTACAGCTCCTGTATTTTCTGTCCTTTCCCCATGGAGTAGGAACCATGGCTATATGTTAAGCGTGTAGGCTCCTGTGTATTGTTCTCAGGACTGAGAGAGGAACAGGGCTTAGTTCTCACCTCAACAAAAAGAAATTCAAACTTCTGACCTTCAGCAGTGTGTTATAACTGTGTGACAGAGCAGGAAGAAAACATTAAAGATGGTCTTGGCAACTGAGGAAGGGAAAACAAGGGCAAGGGAAAACTGATTGGGTACTCAGGAAAGGAGGAAAACCAGCCATTTTCTTGTGGGTTTTTTGAGTACTTTATGGATCTTCTGTCTGGTATGACTGTATAAATAGCACAAGAAGGGAGAATACCTCCTTGCCAAGTATTCCTCTAGTTTTCCAAAAGTAGAGGAGCCTAGGTGAGGGCACCAGCCACCAGGTTCAAGTTTCTCTCTCACTTTCTCTGCCCTATGAAGCCCTAATCATCCTCTTCGACACAGAGCAGCTCAGTAGGAAGAACTTAGGCCTGCCTTAAGTGCACATGGGGAACCTCCCATGGTTCCTTCCACCCTAAAATAACCTGTTTCAAAGTGAAAGTGTCTGTCTGTGCTTCAGATTTCTCTCTCCTAACCCCAAAGATTTCATAACCTACAGGAAAGTTGTAGTGTGCAAGCATTCTCCCAGCAACAAGATTCAGTCCAAAGCCTCTGACATTTTGGGAGGACATTTTACCTTACAAGAGGACTAGTCAGCAGCAGAGAACATGTGTTCCTGACTGAGGATACTGCAGGAAGATGGCCATGTTACATTTCTGTAATATGTAAATGCTGTGACTTGGAGGCTTCACAGGGTAGGGAGCTCCCTTTAACACTTGACAGAGATTGAGAACAGAGGGGTAAAGGGAACAGAGAAAAGCTTTGTGTGGGTTTCTATCACTGAGCAAAAGGAATTTATAGGACGGGCCTGAATCCATTTGTAAGTGAGCTATGTGTCATGACATTCTAACATAGCTATGGAAAATGGGTCAGTATTATTCTGTTTTCGTAAGAACTGAATGAGACAGCATTGCTCAGCCCAGGGTGCAGTGTCATTCTAGCTCATGCTGCAGCCTTCAGCGATGAGTTAAGAGAGCTTACAGTGATTCCTAGAAGGATGGAAAAAAAAAATCACTTGGCATTGGAACATATTCAGTGTTCATTTTGGAATCATGAGATCTCCATGGCTGCCAATTTTTTTTTTCCTGAATCTGTTGTGTGAAGAAAAAAAGCTGAGGTCACTCAAAGTGGGGGTGAATAGCCCAACACAGCTGCTCATCAGTGAGTGTGTGGGCTACAGGCACTGGGAGAGAGCCAAGTGCAGGAAAAACCTGCAGTGAGAGCATCCCTGGATGACACTTGTGCTATGCTGGTGTCTCCTGGACAGGCAGTCAAGCTCCAGGGAGCTGAGCATGCTTTGAGGCAGTAAGGTCTGCAGCTGGACTCTTCACAGCCAGGGTAATGCACTGTGAGCAGGATGCAGGTGAAGGAGGTTGCAGTATCCACTTGCAGCAACTCACTGCCATGGGAGGAAAGCTGACTCCCAGCTGTCACTGGAGTATTTGGCAGAGCAGCATTTTTTCAGTAGCTGCTGAGTACTTATGCTTCCCAAACTGTTGGGTGTTCTCCCTTTCGTCCTCAAAAACACTTCATAGTGTCAAGAGGCCAGTCATTCTCATGAAACAGAATCTGTTTTAGTTTTGTGAATGGGCTTCTGAGCAGCTGGTGTCAAAGGAAACCCCTAGAAGCCAGAGTTAATTTCTATTACATTTCTCTTGCTTCACTCAGGCAGAAGGGGCAGCTCCACAGAGATCAACATTGCCTTGTGGGGGGAAGAGGTGAGCATGACCTGGCTTAGCCTCAAGCCCATCCCTCAAAAGGAGATGTTTGCAGGTGTTGCTCAAAGAGAGAAGTGGACATTTTTCGGAGCATGGGTGTCAAACCCCAGGCTCCAGGGAGCACTAGGAGTGGAAGGTGTCCCTGCCCATGGCAGAGGGGTTAAAACTAGATGATCTTTAAGGTCCCTTCTGATCCAAAGCATTCCATGACCATTTTATGAGGCTGCGAGCTGCGTGCTACCTGCTGAAATTCCTTCTTCCCCTAACCTGTGCGGGCTTCCACTCCACATTAAATCGATTTAATTCCAGTTTTTCAATTAACAGAGCTGATACCTCCCTTCTGTAAGAGCAACACGACAATTTCTGCCGACAGAAACATAACAGATACTCTCTGCTGGACTTGCGCCCAATGAACCAGAAACCCCCTTCGCAGCATCACCCAGCACCCCAAGCCCCGCTCCGGCAGCCGCAACGCACCAGGGCACAGCGGAGGCGGCCACCGCCTCTAAAATCCCCTTTTCTCACAGGGGCCAGGAGTTTCCAGAGGAAGCCGCTTAGTCAGACTCGCAGAGAACGTCCCCTCCCAGCGCCGAGGGAGGAGCGGGGGTGCAGGGCGAGGCGGGCCGCCTGTAGCGCGGCGGGAGGGAGCTGCTTTTAGACTTCCGATCGGGCGGGCAGCGATGAGGCTGCTGGCATGGCACCTGTGCTTCGCGTCCCTCCTGGGTAAGCCGTGAGGGGCACGTTGGGGACCCCTTCCCGAGCCCTTCGCCTTTCTCCCTCCCTCCTTGCCGTCCGGGATATCGCGGGCGGCGGGAGCGGGGCATCCTTGCCCCTTGCTCCCCGGCCGGGCGGGCATGTGCCGCCCCGGGGCAGCGGCGCGGACGGGGCTGAGCAGCTGCCGCTGGAGCTCGGGTAGGCTCCGGCGGTGGGCTGCGTCCTGGGAGGATACCCCAGCGAGGCAGCTGCTTCTCCAGGGGGCCGCGACCGCCCCCGACTCCTGGCCCGGCCTCCGCGACAGCGGCTCCGTGCGCGGGGCAGGGAGCGTCCCTGCCGCCTGCTCCCTGTCCTTCCGAGGGGTGGCGGGCAGAACCTGCCTCCCGCGTCTAGCTCTAGAATTTCATGCCAGCGGTCAGCACTTCCAGGAACTCCCCAGCCTGTTCTTCTGTCCCCTTTCTCTCAAACTTGTGTAAAGGAAGGTCATGGTAGGAAGCGGGTGTGACATTATGGCACCCGCCTACGATGAGTTAATTCCTGCACGTTTGCCCCCTGTTCCTGAGGCATTAAGGAGCTCAGGAAGCAAGCTGTTACTGTAAAAACATTTTGTCACCCCTGTATATGAAAGTGCTGTTTATTTGGTATTCCGTGTTCCGTCTTGCTCAAGGAAAAATCATCAAAGTTGTCAATAGCTTTGTGTTGGTTTTTTTGTGTTTTTTTAATAGTTGCGGCCTTTTTTTGTTTTTGGTTTTGGTTTTTTGTGTGGTTTTTTTTGTTTGTTTGTTTTTGTAGAAGTAACATATTGCTATTAACTGCTGGTGAAATACTAATCAAAGACCTTTTTAGTCCATTGTGTGTCTGAGCACACCCTCACACCCATAACCTTTGCACTGGGCTGTGAACATGGAAAGTTTAAAAAAAACCCTCATTTTTTGAAATTGAAGATGTATGTACAAACCTTGTTGTCATCAGAGGTAGCTGCTATTGCTAGATGGGCCAAGAAGCATGGTTTAATCTATGAAGATCTTCTAATAATTCCTCTTTTTTTTTTTTTGTTTGTTTCCTGGATATGCCTAAACCAGGAGCTATTATATCCCCTGTTTAAAAAAATAACAGTCTCCTCTTGCTTTTCCTGAAGTCTTTGAGTAGCTGGTTCTGCTACTGAGTGTTCAGAGCAACTCCTGGCATTTCCTCCCCATACTAGTTTAGAAGTCTTCAGCTTGTTCTGTTTAATTAAGATTGAGAGGTCCTGTTCTGTAAGAGAACGTTGGAGGACTTTGATTCTGAAGTGGTTGATTAGGGCAGGAGGTTAGGATTGCAAACTCTTTACTGTTATTCACTAAAATAAATAGGCAAGCTTTCACACCATGTTTTTGTTTGTATGTTTGCATTATTGCTGTTGTGTGTGTTGACTATGTGTAAATGTTTCATGTTAATTTTAATAATGTAAAATAATCTATCATCTCTGTATGAGAAAATCAAGACCCTGAAAGTCAGACCAATCTGCCCAAGTGCATAAAGCAGATCAGTAGCAGTTTGACTTGGCATGCAAGTCTCTAGCCTTGCAAATACCTGTTGTAAACAGCAGGATGCTGTTGGTAGATCCTCATCCTCCTTCAGTCTTCCCCTTCTGAATCCCTGCCTTCTCCATCCAAATTCATAGCACTGCACTTATCCCAGTTGTGTTGCTGAACATCGTGGGAGATGTGCTTCTTAATTCTCTTGTGGTAGCCTGTGACACACACAAGCTGCATTGTACCTTTGGTGTATTCATAATTCCTGCTCATCAGATAGGGTTTCGTGCTCTTCACAATGCTCTGCTGGGTCAGGTTTTTGTCTGATAAAACCTCAGACTTGCAAATTAGAATGCAAAGTCTCACTTTGAGGCTATGAAAGGACTTTGAGACATACCAAGCACGTGTTCCTTCAGTCCTTGGAAATTCAAGGCAAAACTGTGCTCAGATTTGGGATCCTGGAGATTGTATGTGGGTGGAAAAAAAAAGTCAGTGTATTATCTGTGGCTGAGTTTGTTGAGGGAACCCCCCTGGATGAGAAGAATAAATAATGAATAAATAGTACCACACCAGCAGGAGACCACAGTGCAAGCCACACCAGTGGGGATGTTCTGCTACACTGCAGACAGCAGCCAAACTTCTAGTAACTTTTACAGAGCCAGGACTTAACCCCAGAAGCAGAGGGGATGTGGGAATTAAGCTGGATATGTGAAGTAGAACACCTAGAAGCCTTCTGCATCTGTAGTGTGGCTCATCTGAAAGCCAGGCAACTCTTTCAATGTTCTGAGCATCAATTTTATGCAGTATTACATTCTTCTGGGCTCCTCAATGCTTCATTTACCAACTCAGCTTACTTATAAAAATTGAGTTAGGTGGAGAAAACTTGTTTCACCTAAAAGCAGAGGTTACCATGTACAGTATTGAGCATAGACTGACAAATAATTTTTAGCATCTCTCAGGTTTTCTTTCAGACTTCCACTGAATCTCCAGCATAGAAACTGAACATACCTCAACGCGTCTTTTTGTTACTTTCTCATTAGGCCATTTGACAGGTTTGGGCTGGCTTTTGTTTTTATTTTAAAATTTTCTGTCTTTTTTTTCTCAACACATACAAATATATGCTCCTTTCTACATTTTTGTGGATCACAAAAACACTGGTATTGCTCAGTGTTTTTGCCTGCGTCTCTCCACTCCATGGGAGATGTTATGGGAACTACATTACAAGGCATTGGGATGAATGGGGGAAAATCTGGACTCCTGAAAAATTCAGGTTGCTTGTAGAATGTGGTTAGTTCATAGGTTGCTAATAGAAATATTAAACATAGGTTTTAATGGTACAAATGGAAAAATCAGTCATCGGCTCTATGAAGCTGACATCTGCTTTTGTTGTCCTGTAGCTTTACCCTTGAATCTTCCCAAATAAACAGAGGAAGTTAGGCATGTCTCACAAAGGAAAAAAAAAAAAAAAGAAAAAAATCAAACCAAACATCTGCCCCCTTCTTAAAAACTCCTGGTAAGAGATGAGGCGGCTATATCATATTAAAACCAAAACAAAACAAATATTTTTTTTTTGCCATTGCTATTGAATACTACAGGGTGAACATTGAAAAATGTCACTGATAGTTTCTTGGCTTAATGTAATTAACGGTCTTAGACCTTAGAAAGCCAGGATCATCAATATTCTGCAGGACACACTGGCCCTCCCTAATAGTTCACCACTGCTAAAAGTGGTGATTTCCAGTTCTCCCGCTCCCTGCACTTGCCTTATGCTGGGAGGCCATGTGTTGGCCTGGGCATTCACTGGGTTTAGCTAATTGCATTAGTTGTCAAAAATCTCCAACTGTATAAATTCAATGAACAGTGTTGGCTCAGTCCAACAGAGCAGGACCCTGAGACTGCAAAAAGGAGGGCAAAAACAGGTGGAGGGGAGGGAAAGTGGGATGTCCACACACATCTGGCCTTTGCTTAATTGCCCTGAGCTAATCAGTTGTCTGGGGCAAGGCGCACAAGATTCTTACAATAATAGTTCTCGCATTGCAGGTTTCTCCTGAGGGAAAGATTTGGTTGTTTAAGTTCTTGACAAGAGAAATAGATAAATCTAGGTTGCCTCAAAGTACAGACAATAATAGTTTAGTACATAAACCCTTCTGAAGCTGAAGTGTTTAGGTTATCCTAAATTTGTCTGAGTCACGGAACATACAGGTATGTTTTTACATGTTCTCTTCCCATCGATGCCCCGTATAGTACCTCCACAGCAAAAGATTTGGATACTGTGGTACTGCGATAACTCCCCCTCTGCGTGGTGAATTCCCTGTTGTACTGCCCTGGTAGTGGACTCGACTGCCACAGAACAGATGAAGTTTCCCCACTGTAGAACCATGTAAGAAAGACTCTTGTAAGGCAGGGATCAGTCTTTCTTTTATAATAAGACTGGTTAAATAAATGATCAGAATAACTTGTGACTAAATAATTATTAATAAATACCTGCTCAGAGGTAATTTCTGGGGACTCAGGCGATAGAAGGAATATACAAAGCTAAAGTACTTGGGGTTTAAGGCTGCATTGATATGTGAGTGACAGGAATGATGGAAATTCAGACTTTGTGTAAGAAGCAGCCTAACAAACCGCACGTGGTTCACTTAGCAAAAGTGAAAACACTGCTTCAACCAGGGTGATGATGAGAGCTGTGAGTAGGTGATGTTTGCTAATAATATTGTGTGTATCTAGACTGTTACATCAGAAATTTCCCATTGCTGCTAATGGAGGAGTAATTTTGTGAAGCTTTTTCTCTTGCTGCTACCTTTAGTGTGGCCCTCGTGACACTGTACACACACCTTTATCCTGGTGTATGAACAGGCAGACTTGCCAGAGATGGAATATTTTTGTTGATGTTTGTTTAGTATGGGATGAGGAGACTTACCTGAAACTAACCTAAAGCAATGCTTCGGAAAAAGGAAAACACCTTTTCAAGAAGGTGCCACAAAAATAAGAGCCCACATATTTACATTCAGAGAAAGGAATATTCTTTCCAACTTGGAAATACAGCTCAGTGGGTACTTCTAACATTAAGTTTATTTAGAAGCATCTCCTCAGAGTTGCTTTTGTATCAAGAGCCAAAGTTTTAAAGGTTAAGAAGCCAGAGCTGCACAGTCAGTATCCATATTGAGGCGTGCACTGTGCCCTTAGCTTCAGTTTTGGATATTTGAAGAAACAGACCTGACCTGCAAAATTTTGGATTGGACAGATTCTGTCCTTAATTCAAAGGCAAAGACACCAGGATTTCCAGGTGTGCAGTTGTGAACCAGATCCTCCTATTCACAGGAAAGTCAGAGGTGGCTAGATGCCCAGAAACAAGTTGTGAAGCCAAACCCAGGCGCTCACTCACTCTCTTACTCCCACCTCAGCAGGATGGGGTAGAGAATCAGGAGGGCAAAACCAGGGAAAACTCCTGGGTTGAGATAAAGACAATTTAATAAGTGAAGGGGGCTGGAAAGC